CCCCCCCTTCCCTACTGGCCCAATCTGAACCAGCAAGGAATGGGGGGGCCAGGGGACTTTTGGCCCACCCCCAAACTCTCTCATGGGTCTGCCCACAAATTGTGCCACACCCCCCCATGACTGAGGAGGCACCAATTACCCATGTGAACTATGTTACCCAAGTTTTCTGAGGCAGGCACGTAGGGCGCCTATACTGGAGCAGAGAGGCTGCGCCACCACACTGGAATTCCAGTGCATCGGAGCAGGCTCGATTAATTAAGTCTGCTGGAGCATGGCAATTACCGCACTCCAGCAGTCTCATGGATCAGCATCCCCATGCTTCATATAGTGTGGAGCGAGCTTCAGATAAAGCTCCCCTGCCGCTGGTTTTGAAGCATGGGGATGCTGATACACAAGATGCTCCCGGCCCTTTAATCAGAGTGACTCTTGGAGCTGCTCAAATTGAAGTGCCCCCCCCCCCCACAACGTGTATATAAGCACCCTTAAAGTTTCAAACCAATAAGGTTCAGTTAGAACAGAAGTCCTGGTGCACCCCGAGCTGTCGCAGTCACTGCTACGATACAAGGCCTAAGACTGCTGCCTACGGCATTAGTGATCCCACACCGGGAGTTTCTCGGGTCTGACACGAGAGGGAAACAGAAGAGGAGGTTCAGCAGGGCCTGAACCGTGAAGATGCTGCATCTCTACCCACCGCGACGGGGCAGGTCTACAACACGTGCATACGAGTGACTGGAGCACGGCGCAATCCCCGAGATAGCGACCGACGGGCCGTGGCGCTGCACCAGTCTGTGTGGCGGGCCGTGCCCGAGCTGCACGTGGGCCGGGTCAGCCGGCGGTCCCGGCCCAGCTGGCGTGGTGGGGGGACGGGCCAGCCCCAAGTGGCTTTGCAGGAGAAGGGGACACGGCCCGGCCCCAGCCCCGCAGAGGGAAGAGGGAGCACGGCCGGGGCTCACCTGCGAAGCGGATCTTGACCAGGTCGAGAGGGTGCAGCACGAGCGTGGAGACGACGCCGCCGCTGAGCCCCGCCACCAGGCTCTCGTAGCTCACGTGCCGCAGCGGGGACTGCGCGGGCCGGGCGGACACCGCGCACGCAGGACCCCGCGGCCTCTCCGCCGCCCCCTCGCTCATAGCGCCTCAGCCCACGCCAGCCCCGCGCCCCGGAGGCGGAACAAGAAGGTCCAGAGCGGCTTCTTCCGCCCGCTACAGGTCCGCGTCGGCTTCCGGTCACGTGGGCCTTGCGCTCCGGAAGTGTGGCGGGCCGGGG